TTTTTTTTTTTTTTTTTGAAAAAAGCAAAATAGAACCCACTGAAATAGATCGGATAATAAAAAGAGTGGAAAAAAATCAATCTATCGAGAGGCGCTACTAACTAAAGGAATAAAAAAGGCTACGACATGCGTAGTCTTTTCTCGTCACGGGGAATAAAATAACAAGAGCCACAATTAACATCACTTATAAAGCTACAATATCGGACAATGTCACCACCAGCACAAAACCATTTTGTTTGGCAAAAAGTAGACCATCTCGCTCTACACCAGCCTCGGCATCTTCCACTGTGGAATAAACCCACTCTTTGTACGTGTTGTTCTGCCATTACTAGCCCGGTATGATTCCGAATAGCTGCCCCTGTTTGGTAAGCAGAATCATTGGTCGGAGTCTTTGAGAGCCATGACTCTATCTCTATTCAATCTGTGCTAGTTGACGTAGAGTGCAACGAGTCGATATTCTAGTCCAAATATCCCTCTATCCATCACTCAAATGAAAGAAGTCACAACCTTGAGACAAATTTCCTCCATGAGACACCATCAGAATTCAGAAGTACTAGCACCTTCGTGTGATCTAGATCACTATTCAACAAGCACTTATATCCACTTCTATAATTGTAAATTCTTTTTTGGGTGATTGGTCAAATAGGAGGTTTCGGTAACTGTGGATCCTGGAACACATCAACTGTCTTCCCATCCCTAATCCTGCAGCGAAGACCTTGACCCAACAATTCACGTCCTGATATAATACTCTTCCATGAGAAAGTCTCCTGATGTGACTGATGCTTCTAAAGAAATTGTTACGTAGTATTCCTTTTAATACACGCGCAGCAAGAGAATGCTCTTGTGAAATCAAGTGCCAGTCGTGTTTTGCGACTAGAGCCTTGTTAAACATGCCCACGTGACATGGGTGGACTCTTCGAGTTTTGCAGTAGGACTATTTTTCGCACGCATGCGACAGTAGTCTCACTCCTTTCGATTACCATCCGTTGACTTCTTTCACGAGTTTAGGCATGATCCATTGTATATTTTGTGGTTGACGGGGCATTTAGGTGGACCATAAGAATTTTTATATATATCAGCTCCCACTACGATGGAGTCATATGCCACTTCCATATACCAACGATACTTGTTCATCAAATTTTTCGAACTTATAGACATCAATTATATGTATCTGTATCTCATGTAGTCATCCACAAATTTGACAAAGAACTTGTGATTGCCTGTCGCACTTGCACTCATAGGCCCACATATATAAGAATCAACTAATTCCAAAACATCCTTGGCACTACATGTTGGAGCTGATTCATCAACTCAGTCAGCGACGTGTTCATCTGGCGCATGTGGAAGTTTATCTTGAACTGAGCAAGAAGATCATATAGAGAAGTCAGTACCATGTTCTGAGTTTCTCTGTTAATGTTAGCTCCCAAAAACCTCCGCCTGGCTAAACATAAGGGACTATCTCCATCATATGATCTTTAACTGGCATCCCAAGTGTCATCAACTTATTTTGTAGAGTACAAATGGTCTTATACCTTGCTGCCCTTCCCATGTGATCATAAATGTCCTTAATTGTTTTCCATGATATCATACGAGGTGACAAGACGGTAGAAAATTGGACATCGAGTCCAAAATGTAGCCACCTGAAACGAATTTTCAATAAGCTCGACAAAGATGGCGATGGAAGGGTGAGCATCGATGTGCTAAGGTGGCTCCTTCAAACAATTGGTATCTATGACTATACTTGCACATCAGATGAGATAGAGTTATTTCTGGACAAAACAAGTCTTGATTTCATCGATTTCTTGTTCTTTTATGACGCCATTATCAACATGGACCTAATAAATTTCGGAGAAAATCAAGATAGCTGCTTAATCGAGAAATATATGCCTAAAGCATTCGAGGTTTCTGACTGGAATAGTGATGGTTTGATTTCGAGTGAGGAGTGGACTGTTGTTGTAACATCAATTGTGCTAAATAACATTAATTAATATCTACTCCACTTATCTCTTATTTTTTTCAAATTACTTATTCAAAATGATGACATGAGTCATTAATGTCAAGTCTTATTTAAGCCATGGTTGGTAGGGATTAATCAGATTTTTAATAGATTTTGCTAAAAGTAGATAAAATGTGTGGTTGAAAAGTTCTGAAATCCATAAAATGTATGGTTAAAATTAATTGTTGACTTTGACTTGAGATTTTAATTGGATTTTAATCCAAACCAAACAGGGGTTTAATTTGTTTTCCCCTGTTATTTTTTACCAAGTTTAGTTTTTAATCTTCTTATTTTTATCCGTATATCGTACACCTCATATGAACGTAAAACCAAAATTCATCAAAGTACTTCTTTTATTATCTTTATTATAACAAAAACAATATACTTCATTAAATTGATAGAGATTGTTTGGTCGACATATTCACTAAATTAAATAAAGATTAATTACATTTTTTATTCTCTTTATTTCATCAATTAATCCTCACCTACGTTGTTCTCATTTTGTCTCATCCATTATACAAAATACGGTGTTTGATTATATTTTCTAACTTCGATCATAGGTTGAATAAGTAAAGAAGACACGTTTTTTATTGGATAAATTAATTAACTAGTCGACATATTTATAAATAAAATAACTCAATAGTATCTTTTCTTGTATAAATGATTTTTCAAAAATTCATTTTTCATAATGGATGATTTTCTTTTACGTGTTTAAGTCATAAAATATTTGGTTGAGCGGACCGTCCTACTAATATAGGACCGTTCCATCAAAATTTACAATTAAAGATACGCTTATTTATATATTATCGCAATTCGATTACTAAAATGGAACATATTCTCGAGGTTTATTGTTTACGACAATATATGTTATCAAATTAATATATATGATTTTCAAAGACTTGTCACCAAACTCTATTGGTTTAGATGGTTGTTCTTTTTATCCACATTCTTGAAAATTTATTTTAACTGCAGAATTTTAAAAAGAAGAAGAAATTAGAAGTAGAACCATTTCTCGAAGGAGTCAACCCAAATGTTAATTTTCATAAGAATTCTTAGCAAAATGATGATTTTCAAGCCCCTTCTAATTTTGCATGAATCTTGTAGTTGTTGATAATTTTCAAGCCAACTTAAATTAATTACAAATATACGAATCAGGTCAATTCAGGTAATTATATCATTCATTTTTATTACCTGAACATGACCTAATATATGGTGATATAGGCAATAGAGGTGTAAGCTTTTCTGTCATCTACACTTATGCTGAAGAGTCATGCTTGATGTACACTCTTTGAATTCCTCTCACAAAGGTGGGGGCTCGCAATTTAAAAAATCATGGGCTC